GTCCCTCCCAGTTTGTCCCAGTCCCCCCAGTTCTCACCAGGCTGATGTTGGAGTCCAGCCCCATCTGGAGGTGTCTCCAGTCAAACTCCACCCCCCGGGCCCCGACCCACAGCGGGACGCACCTGCCCGGAATTCCCAAAATTCCCGGAATTCACCCCAAAATCCATCCCAAAAAATTCCCAAAATGCCCGGAATTCATCCCAAAATCCATCCCAAAAAATTCCCAAAATTCCCAAAATCCATCCCAAAATTTATCCCAAAATCCCGGAATTCATCCCAAAATCCATCCCAAAATTCCTGGAATTCATCCCAAAATCCATCCCAAAATCATCCCCAAATGCCCGGAATTCATCCCAAAATCATCCCCAAAAAATCCCCAAAAATCCCCAAAAATCCCCAAAAATCTCCAAAAATTCCCAAAAATTCCCAAAAATTCCCAGAATTCCCAGAATTCCCAGAATTCCCAAAAATTCCCAGAATTCCCACCTGGCCACGAACAATTCCAAATTGCCCCATCCCAAACCCCCCAAAAATCCAAAAAAAATCCCCAAAAAATCCCAAAAAATAAAAAAAAAATCCAAAAAAAATCCAAAAAAATCCCAAAAAAATCCCAAAAAATTCCCCAAATTCCCAGAATTCCCGAAAATTCCCGGAATTCCCACCTGGCCGTCAGCAGCTCGGCGCTGGCCCCGCCCAAATCTCCCCCAAACCCCCCAAAAAGTCAAAAAAAATAAAAAAAAAATCAAAAAAAAAATCCCAAAAAATCCAAAAAAAATCCAAAAAAATCCCCAAAAAATCCAAAAAAAATCCCCAAAAATTCCCAAAAATTCCCAAAAAATTCCCAAAATTCCCAGAATTCCCAGAATTCCCACCTGGTCACGAACAATTCCAAATTGTCCCATCCCAAACCCCCCGAAAATCCAAAAAAAATCCAAAAAAATCCCAAAAAAATCCCAAAAAAATCCCCAAAATTCCCAGAATTCCCAGAATTCCCGAAAATTCCCGGAATTCGCACCTGGCCGTCAGCAGCTCGGCGCTGGCCCAGCCCAGGGCGGCCACCAGGATTCGGAGCTCGCCCCTCCCCCCGCCCCGGCCCAGGGCCAGCTGGAGCCCCCCGAGATCGGCCACGTCCACCGTGGCCCGCAGGAATTCCTGCAATCCCGGGAAAAACAGGGAATTTCGGGGGGAAAATTGGGAATTTCGGGGGGAAAATTGGGAACTTCAGGGGAAAAATGGGGATTTATGGGAAAAAATTGGGATTTATGGGAAAAAATTGGGATTTCGGGGGGAAAATGGGGATTTTGGGGGGAAAAATTGGGAATTTCAGGGGGAAAATTGGGAATTTTGGGGGAAAATTGGGAATTTCGGGGGAAAAATGGGGATTTATGGGAAAAAATTGGGAATTTCGGGGGGAAAATTGGGAATTTTGGGGGGAAAATTGGGAATTTCAGGGGGAAAATGGGGGTTTAGGGGAGGGAAAATGGGATTTTTGGGGAAAAATGGGGATTTATGGGAAAAAATTGGGAATTTTGGGGGGAAAATTGGGAATTTTGGGGAGAAAATGGGAATTTTGGGGAAAATTTGGGAATTTTGGGGGGAAGTTGGGAATTTTGGGGGGAAAAATGGGGATTTCGGGGGAAAATGGGAATTTTGGGGGGAAAATTGGGAATTTAAGGGGGAAAATGGGGATTTAGGGGGAAAATTGGATTTTGGGGGGAAAATTGGGAATTTCGGGGAAAAATGGGGATTTATGGGAAAAAATTGGGAATTTTGGGGAAAAATGGGGAATTTTGGGGGGAAAATGGGGATTTAGGGGGGAAAAATTGGGAATTTCGGGGGGAAAATGGGGATTTAGGGGGGAAAATGGGATTTTTTGGGGAAAAAATTGGGAATTTCGGGGAAAAATGGGGATTTAGGGGGAAAATTGGGGATTTAGGGGAAAAATTGGGAATTTCGGGGGGAAAATGGGGATTTTTTGGGGAAAAAATGGGGTTTGGGGAAGGAAAAATGGGAATTTTTTGGGGAAAATTGGGATTTTAGGAGGGAAATTGGGATTTTGGGGGGAAAAATGGGAATTTGGGAGGGGATTTTGAAGGAATTTTGGGATGGGAATTTTTTGGGAATTCTTTGGGAATTTTGGGAGATTTCGAAGCGAATTTTGGGGAATTCTGGAGGAATTTTGAGGGGATTTTTTGCTGAATTTTGGGCTTTTTTACGGAATTTTTTGGGTTTTTTATGGAATTTTTTGGGATTTTTTTATTTTTTGAGAAGGGTTTGGGATGGGAATTTCAGGGAATTTTTTGGGAATTTTTTTGGGAATTCTTTGGGAATTTTTGGGGGGATTTTGGGACGGATTTCGAAGCGAATTTTGGAATTTTTGCCGAATTTTGGGGCTTTTTTAACGGAATTTTTTTGTTTTTTTATGGAATTTTTTGGGAATTGTTTGGGATGGGAATTTTTGGGAATTTCAGGGAATTTTTTGGGAATTTTTTGGGAATTCTTTGGGAATTTTTGGGGGGATTTTTGCCGAATTTTGGGGCTTTTTTTACGGATTTTTTTGGGAATTTTTGGGATTTTTTGGGAAGGGTTTGGGATGGGAATTTTTGGGAATTTTGGGAATTTTTTGGGAATTTTTGGGGGGATTTTTGCCGAATTTTGGGGCTTTTTTTACAGAATTTCTTGGGAATTTTCTGGGAATTTTCGGGATTTTTTTGGGAAATGTTTGGGATGGGAATTTTTGGGAATTTCAGGGAATTTTTTGGGAATTCTCTGGGAATTCTGGACTCACCCCCACCAGGTCGTATCCGCCCGAGGGCCCCTCCCAGGTGGGGAAAAACGTGGCCAGGAACAGCATCTGGAGAGGGGGGAGGGGAATTCTGGGAATTCCAGGAATTTTTGGGAATTCTGGGGGGGTTGGGGGGCTCCAGGCCGGGATTTGGGGAAATTTTGGGGGATTTTTGGGGAATTTTGGGGGTTCCCAGTTGGGATTTGGGGGTTCCCAGTTGCTCCCAGTTGCTCCCCCACCTTTCCCAGTTGCACCAGTACGTAGGTGGCTCCGGCCTGGACGCAGCGCCAGAAGGCGCTGTACTCGGACCTGCTCCCAGTTCAAACCAGTTTGAACCGGTTCGAACCAGTTCAAACCAGTTCAAACCAGTATAAACCAGTTTAAACCATTTCAAACCGGTTTAAACCATTTCAAACCGGTTTAAACCGCTTTAAACCGAAATAAACCAGTCCAAACCAGTTCAAACCAGTCCAAACCAGTCCAAACCAGTCCAGCGCCCCTCCCAGTCCAAACCAGTAACTCCCAGTCCCCTCCCAGTATAAACCAGTAACCCCCAAACCCCAAACCAGTTCAAACCAGTAACCCCCAATCCCCTTCTAACCCCTCCCAAACCCTTCCCAGTCCCTCCCAGTTCCATCCCAGTCCCTCCCAGTCCCTCCCAGTTTGTCCCAGTTTGTCCCAGTTTGTCCCAGTCCCTCACAGGCCGCTGCACTTGTAGGTGATGAAATAAGGGAAATAGGCGAGCGCGAAGCAATTCCCGAAGTGGAACAAAGTCATGGCGGGCCCGGGGGGGGAATTGGCGGCGATCCCGGAGATTTTTTTTGGGAATTTTTGGGAATTTTTGGGAATTTTTGGGATTTTTGGGAATTTTTTGCGTTGGGAGCTTCCGGGTTCGGGCCCGGCGGGCGCGGGGGGTGATGGGAAAGGGGAGGTCACGCCCCAATCATCGCGAGATTTCAGGGTGGGGCGGTGGCCAATCAGAGAGGGGGATGTGGAAGGGGCGGGGTTTGGGGTGAGGCCACGCCCACGGGGATGGGTTCGCGCCAAAAGGGCGGCGGGAAAGGCGGAGAATTCCCCAAAAAATCCCAAAAAATTCCCAAAAAATCCCCCCCCAAATCCCAAAAAATAAAAAAAAAAAATCCTAAAAATTCCCCAGAAATCCCTAAAAAATCCCCCCAAAAATCCCCCCAAAATATCCCAAAATAATTCCAAAAAATAAAAAAAAAAAAACCACAAAAATTCCTAAAAAAATCCCGAAAAAATCCCCCCCAAAAAATCCAAAATTCCCCCAAATTCCCCCAAATTTTGGGAATTTGGGATGGGGGGGAGGAATTTGGGGGAGTTTCGGGAGGATTTGGAGAATTTTGGGGAGATTTGGGACAAAAAATGGGAATTTTGGGGAGGATTTGGGGAATTTTGGGGGAATCCGAGAGGAATTTGGGAAGGAAAGTGGGAAAAATGGGAATTTTGGGAGGAAAAATGGGAATTTTGGGAGGGTTTGGGTGGAAAAATGGGAATTTCGGGGGGATTTGGGTGGAAAAATGGGAATTTTGGGAAGGAAAAGGAGAAAAACGGAAATTTGGGGGAATTTTGGGGATTTTTTGGGAATTTTGGGGTGGATTTGGGGGAAAAATGGGAATTTTGGGGGGAAAAATGGGAATTTTGGGAGGAAAAATCGAGAATTTTGGGGGGATTTTGGGGAATTTTGGGGAATTTTGGGGGATTTTTGGGGATTTTTGGGGATTTTTGGGAATTTCCCCCCAAATCCGAGGGGAT